TGAAATCCATCAATTTCCTTAACATACCCTCTAAATAGAACATTGAGTTTTTCTTTGGACAGTAAATATTTCCAAGCGTACATTCCATACCATATAGTTTCCCCCTCAAAACAGAAACAGACCCTCTAACCTGTCTTACAAAATGAATCTTACATTTTTTTGCAATCCCAATAGCTACTCCTTTAGCCTGTCTTGCTGGCAAGTCTGCATAGGACCAGGTCGGGTAGTACCTTAATTGTAACTTAACTCTTGCATCATGAGATATATGTGTCTCTTGTAAGATCAGTTGAAGGCTGCCAGATTTCCCTAGTAATCTTATGTCTTTTTACCGGGGTATTCAATCCTTTTAAGTTGTAGGTCATAAAAAATTAACTACGTTCTTATCCAATATCCCTGTATATAAAAACCTCTTCATCCACATTGTTCCACATGAAAGGAGGTATCTATAGAATACATTTGGAGCAAAAGAAGAGTTTCAGTGTACCCTTTCCCTCCCACCTCCCCCATTCCCATACCTACCCCCCCTTCCCCCATTCCCATACCTACCCCCCCTTCCCTACCTATTAAACTCATATGGCTCATCTCTAGCCCTTGGATCAGTTGCGGTTTTAATTCCACCCTTCTAATTGGGGTTGAACGCTGTCCTTGCATGCCTCCCACCACCTCTTACTACCCCTTTTAGGGTATTTTGAACCCCCCTATGTCCCACCCTTATATGACCTTTCCCTCCATACCTCTCTACTACACAGACTCCTTTACCCTCTCCCTCCCCCCCCCAATCATTCTTCTGGGTTCAACCATTCCCTCACTTCACTTATATATCTTCTCCCATTACCTATTCATAGATCCTTTTCTCTTAATTTATCTTACATCGGAATATAAGCCGAAAAAGGGTGGGGGAGTAAAGGGGAAAAAAAAGTGGAGGGAGAAGAGGGAAAAAGAGCATTCCTGGTGTAGTTCTTAACTCACCCTACTGATTGTCTAAAAGTTCACTGGGACAACCTATACATGTCTCCAAGACCCTGGCATTGATCTGTTGAATAGGTGGGGATTAGCTCCAGGAGGAGGTACAAGTCAGGAACAGGGACAGACTGACAATGCATGGGGCCCCTGGGCAATAGGGGATCATGGGGCCCGTGTCCTTGCCCACACTCAAAAAAGCCTATTAAGAAAAAAAAAAAAAAAAAAGGGTACCAGAGGCATTTCATGGTGCCCCCTACTGACCCCGGGCCCTTGGGCAGTGCCCAAGTGCTCGAATGGTCAGTCCGCCCCTGGTCAGGAAGATGTTAAGGCCCCCTTTTTAATATTTTCCTGAATCTAGGGGTTTTACGGATGCATATAAATCAGAGTTATCAAAGCTACTTGTAAATCAGTTTTATAATTGAAGATTAATCTATACACAATTTACAGTTCATGTATTGTGCTACAATGGCACACATTTACAAATCCCTTTCTAACCGTTCACATGTTTTTGGGCTGCAACAACTCTTTTGGGATCATATAAACTTTTTAAATCTGGACAATACTGTATTTAAAAAATAATTTGATGTGAAGGAAGAATCATATTTTCAAGATTTCATATTCCTAGAAATTCACAAACAGTGTTGTTGATTGTATACATTAGTGTAAAAAAAAAAGTCCATGGTTTTGTGGATGTTCAAGTAGTTAGACCAGAAACACGAACGACTCCATGGGACTGATTTCCTAAAGGCAAATGGGCTGCTCACTTTGCATTCACTAAGCTAAGGGAAAATTCCCTTAATAAGTGAACAGCCTATTTACCATTAGTAACTCAACCCTAAATGTGCATGTTAAGTAACATGCAAAACTTGGACAGCTGGTGGGATTAGAGGATATTAAATATAAAATCGTGCAGCGCTAAGATCAATAAATATATATATATATAATGTCCAAAAGGGCAATAAAATGCCAATAAAAGTGACTAATATCTCAATGAAATAAAAAAGTTCCAATATGGTGACTTTAGTACATCTTGGTCCAGCGAGTAGTGCTATGGTGGTGTAAAAAATGCGCACTTGAGTAGTAGGTAAGACAGTCCTACTAGTGGGATAACTGGTTTCTCTAGGTCTACATATAGGAGTGGCTTTATAAAACGTGTTTCATCCTGTGTCTGCGGGTCTATGTGGGGGAGTACTTTAAATCCATAGACCCATCATCCCTGGACAGGCTGATATTCCTCACGGATACTTGGCGATACTACCCCGGGAAGGAACAAGGATCCATAGTGTTTGGCACATTATCTGATGACCCATCCCATAGAGGGAAGATCTTTCAATGTCAAAGTTCCAATAGATGACATCTGGATTTATTATATCAAAGCGCTATCATTATGCGCGTCCGGTGAGTGCGCATTTTTTACACCACCATAGCACTATTCGCTGGACCAAGATGTACTAAAGTCACCATATTGGAACTTTTTTTTATTTCATTGAGATATTCGTCACTTTTATTGGTATTTTATTGCCCTTTTGGACATATATTATATTTTATTGATCTTAGCGCTGCACGATTTTATGGTTAAGATTTCAATTTATTGGGCTATTGGTTACCCTCTGTGTGCATAGCTGCTTTTATTTATTCATTCTCTCCTAGGCGCTCACTCCTTTTCTTTTTACATATTAGGGATTAGAGGATATGTTTGAGATACATTGGTTTAAACCATTTTCTTTAACTAAAAAAAAAAAGGTATAGAAATGTCAAGGACTTATTTAATTTCTAAGGGTTCACAATTGTTTTACAACTGTATGTATCTTGAGAAACCCAAGGAAAACATTGACAATTCACTAACCGTAGAGTAAATATCAGAAACAGGCAGATAAGGAATGACATAAAACAGCTACAGGTAAATGCTAAAAACAACATTTTATTACACATATATTTGTATTTATTGAAACTTTAGTTTAAAAATGCATGAATAGATTATACATATATGAGCAAATTATATAAAAACAGATTTAAAAAAAAAGGTACCTTTCATAGCAAATGTCAAGCTTTATTTATTTTTATAACTTTATTAGGAAGGTACATTTCCTTTTGATAATAATATTCCAGAAAAAATGCAGTGATAGTGTTTGATGTAGAATGGTTTATATAAACTTGACATTTTTATTAACAATATAGGTCCATAAACAAAGATGAAGGTTGGCATCAAGTAAAATGAAAGTGTGTTATACTGTATGTCTGTCTGTAAGTGATAAACATCAGGATTTTAGCTGGCACTCCAGAGGACTGTACACCCTGTAAGGATAAGAACCTTTTACTTTCAGCTCCCTCTACCTGATAAGCACTAGACAGAGCTTTGCTATGTGGGCTCTATTTTGGAGGCAAGGTCATCATGGCACCAAGAACAACAGGCACAGAAAGGAGAGAAATCAGATTCACTAGGTAAGTTTGTATATGCTTATATGTAACTTATCAGCTGTACTGAGTCCCACTATATGGGGGAATGTAGCTGAATTAGCAACAATACTTTATAGTTTTTCATGATGTGGGTTTAGTGACACTTTAATCAATAAATGCTGTATTACATGCTGTTCATACTGACCCAGTCAATATTCGTTTTCTGTATCTGCAGAAACACCTGGTGGATTCTGCTATTCTCTAACCCCCCCCTGTCCAAGTCCCCAGTGCAATTGGGGATTTTGTAGAGCAGTATGGGCAGCTCTACACATGCTCAGTTTTCAGTGGGTTTAAATGCTAAGCATTTCCTCCCCATCACATCTAAGCAGCCCATGTGACTATAGAATCAAACATGTGTGCACATACACCGTGGTAAATGGCAGCTCATTCCCTACCTCCTCCTCCATGCCCGCTAACCAGCTAAACACAATAGGGGTGGGATATTACATGTAGATTGATGGAGGGGCGTGACACAGCCTGGGACTGGCAGAAATCCACCAACATGAAGTTATTGCCAAAAAATAAAGATTTGATTTTAAACATATATTTGTATGATGATTTAAAACCGTTTATTTTTACTCTGTATTGCCAAGGCTGTTTTTATTATTTTGAACACGTGACCAGCAGCAGAGGACTAGAAACTCCTCCTGCTTATGCTTCCCTGCAGACAGACAATTGTTTTATTAAAACAATTACAGTGCCATCATCCATATGCAGAAATAGAATGGATAATGTATATAAAACAGTGTGTGTTTAGTATTACTTTAAGATTGTCATTTAGGTGTATGTCCAGCCAAGCTATTACGTTTTTCATTTTTGATAGAATGGGGCAGGAGGCACAACCCCTGTCAAGTTTTTACTGACACCTGGGGCACCGTTATAGAGTTTTTCTCAAACTTACTGTCCAGTGACAATAGTTTCCATAGAAAAAAAAAAATGAGGAAAAAAATGTTGATTGCATCACAGATGGAATACGGGAAGGCAAGAGTCCCTGTCAGTGTTTTATTGCGGTCTGTGCTGCACTTTAAATTTGACTTGTACACTTGGTAACTGTAATGATGATGCCGACATTGGAAATTTGTTAAGAAATACATCACATATACAGTAACTGCGCTGACTGGGAAGATTTCAGGCAGACAACATAGATCAGTTTACTGCAGCTTTAAGAACCTATTAAAATTTTGCAACTAGTTCCAGAAACTAACCAGTGGCAAACCAAATACATTATCTGAAGATTGTCATAAAAAAGTAAATACAAAATGAACAGACAAAAAAAACAAAAACAGTCTAGCAAGATTACGTTTGGCACATAAGCGATTAAAAAAAAAAAAAAAAAAAAAAAAAAAGAAATGGACAATATTGAACACCGACAACCCAATATCCTTAATATTACAAAAATATTTTCTCTTCAATATTCATTATACTTGTGGTTATTGTGCAATAAAATCAATATAAAAATTAAGACAAATCTTGACCATTTTGATAAATAATATTTTTTATTTGACTATACATGCATTACATGTGAAAATTGTTTTCCTCAGAATGCTGGTTCATTTCCCTTCACAATTTGCTTCTAGTGTTCAGGTTTGCGGTTTGCTTTTGTTAAAGAATTTCCGTGCCTCAACATCACTAAGTGACACCGAACAGCGGGATGGATGCTCCCTTCTGTATTCAATGCTTTCTTGAATTGCCTTCTTTATTACCTACAAAAAAGACAAGTAGAATAAGCAAATGACCCATGTACATTTTAACTGCAACATTTGCCATACATTTTACTTAGATTTATTTCCACAAGTAGGTGTCTTAGAAGCCAGGACTGCTATTTTACCCACTGCATGAAATACTAAAGAAAAGGTTTACATTTTACTGCCTATACTGACTACATGTCAAAGTAGGCAAATTACAGTAGCCACAAGCCTTAAACACAGCATAACATGACACTTTGGAAAGTGAAAATTCTGGTGCAGCTCTGCATAGAAGCCAGTTTTAGTAAACACAGTAAACCCCAATCAGGTTCCAGGTTTTATTGCTAAAGCTTGATTCAACAAGCTGACTTTAGAAGCCAATTGGCTACCATGCATAGCTGCACCAGATTCTGCGTGCTCTGATTTTAGTAAATCTACCCCTTTGTACATATACATAATTATACCAACCAGAAAACCACAAAGTAGGTGCTTAAAGTCATATTAAATTTTATTTTTGTGTCTTAAAACAAAAAATGTTATACTTATCTGATATTGCACAGAGCAGTCCCTTACCTCCTCTTTTGGTAGTCCCCCGCTGGTGCTCAGCCATCATGAGATTGCTCATTTATCAGCATCACGCCATCAACATTTCCTTTAACCGCTTAAGGACTGCCCTATAGCAGATATACTACTATAGGGCAGCACCTGTGCGCAGAAACACACACACACACACACACACACATACATACATATATACATACATACATATATAATATATATATATATATATATATATATATATATATATATATATATACACACACACACACACATAGATATACATACATACACACATCATTCTGCATTTCCGGGTAGGGAACATGCACACTCTACCCTTGCCGCCGTTCGCAGCTATGGAAGTCAATCACTGGGTCCCGGACGGTAATTACCCGTCGGCGCCTGGTGATTACCGAGCATCTCCGATTGTTTTGTTTACAATCTTCCTCCCTGTCAGCTCGAGCACACTGCTGTGCACAGTACAGCCATCCCAATCAGTGTGCTTACAGTGAAGAGCACACCCCAGCCCTAGTAAAAACACTCCCAGTACACAGTTAACCCTTTGATCGCCCCTCACATTAACCCCTTCCTTCCCAGTGCCATTAGTACAGTGTAAGTGCTTTTCTTTTTAGCACTGATCACTGTATTGGTGTCACTGGGGTTTCAGTGACACCAAGTTAGTTCTCCCCCCAGTGTCAGAATGTCTGCTGTAGTCCCACTAAAAGTCGCTGATCGCCGCCATTACTAAAAAAAAAAAAAAAAAAAAAAAAAAAATTATCTATCTATACCTCCATTTGTAAACGCTATAACTTTCACATAAACCAATTCAAACTTATAGGGATTTTTTTTTTTTTTTTAGCAAATACATGTAGCCGAATACATTTTTGCCTAAATTTATGATGAAATTTAATTTTTTTATTGTTTTTACTGGACAGGTTTGATAGCAAAAAGTCCAAAATATTGTTTTTTTCCTCAAAAATGTTCGGACTTTTTTGCTTATAGCGCAAAAAATAAACCACACAGGCAATCAAATACCACCAAAGGAAAGCTCAATCTGTGGGAAAAAAGGACATCAAATTTCATTTGGGTGTAGTGTTGCATGACCGTGCAATTGTCAGTTAAATTAACGCAACACCGTAATGCAAAAAATGGCCTGGTCATGAAGGGGGGTAAACCCTCAGGAGGACAAGTGGTTAAGGAGGCATAAAAAAAATGGAAAAAAGAAAATGAGCCCATGAAAATTATGTCCGTAATAAATGTGCTTTTTTTCTTGGACTGTGGGGTTACTGCTACTTTCTCAATCAAAACAGCCTGCATGTGCAGTCATAATTTGGTTTGTCTACTTACTCAGATGGGAAAATAAAATAAAATGCAGCAATCAATTAGGATTAATTGCTGAAAAAGTCTATTTCCCCAGATGCTCAGATCAGTGCCACAGCTCCTTCACTTATCTACTGTTAAAGGATATGTTCAGCTTTGGATCATGTTACGTATCCCACCCATTTTTAGGGTGGAACATGTAACATGTTCAAGCATCTGCACCTTCTCCCACCCAATCCCTCCCTGTGACAGTGGGCAGGGGAATTCCCTCCCAACACCTGCTGTCACAATTTGAAAACAGCACAGCTGTGTGGACAGAGCCCAGTTTCCTATGAATGAATAAACTACAAGTACCACCAGCCATTGCAGCAGATGGCTTGAAGTTTTCAATTAACGAGAGCGCTGGTGAGTACTCTCATTCTGCTTTCAAGTAACTACCTGCCTATACAGGAGATATGGGCAGGCAGCTATCCTGAGAGTCTGCAGGAGCCTGACATTGCACCCGCAATCTGCCGATTTTTACCTGCAAAATAATGTGCATTTATTTTTTTTCAAACAGTAAACTTGACCTTTTATCTCTGCAAAAAGAGACATTGCAAATACAACATACACATATCCGTGGTAATCGAAATGCAGCTGCAAGTAATATACTCTATATAGTCGTGTCTAACGTGCATGAGTAGAATAAAAGGAAGGGGCAGCAGCAAAATCATTTGTTGGAGTGGTGGTTGCATTGTCAGATGCTTGCCACTGCTGGTTGTAGCATTATAATAATGAAATAATACGGGAATGTTGCTAATTAGTATGGTTTTGTTACAACATCACTGTGCTACTCACATCTTGCCAATGGGATTCCTTCATGAGTTAGTAGAAACTAGGTTGGCTGAGTTTATTAATAAAGGCCCAAATTCTATGTTAAAAAGAAGGTAATTGTGGCTCCTAACACCCCAATATCAGCATGCTTTCAGCTGTTTTCAGCTTGCATTTGGGATCAATTTAACATACGTTCTAAGATCCTGATCTGCACTTGACCTAAGCTGCATTATCCCGCTTCATGCTGCTTTTGAATTCCTATTGACTATACTGGGAAAGAAGCAGTTCTGATGTGGAAAAAACCCAAACTTTAATTACCATATAACCACTGGGTAGATTTCCCCTCACTTTCTGTCCTGAAGAAATCTTATGCATAAGGCTGTGACAGTCTGGCACTAGGGATGAGCTCAGGTTTTGTCTCAACTTGACTGAGCACAGTGGGCGGGAGTCACAAATGCCTTCCAGGTTCGGACTGAACCAAAGTTTGAACTGACCCTGGAAGGCAGCTGTCACCCCTGCCCAATCAAGTTTGGACCAAGCATAAAATGAAAAGGCTAAGGGACATGAAGTTTAATTCTTGAATTCCAGTGTGAAATTACTAGGCTATCTGAGGAAAACAGGTGGTGTTCTCATAGCACTCATTTGCATCTAGATTTTTTGGGGATATTCTGAATGTATAGTGCACATTTCCAGTGTGCCCTACTAGCGCCAACCTGCTGCCTCACTACATACTGTACACAAGGGGTCACTTGCTTGGAACCACAGTCATTCATCTTGTATTCTTTTCAATTAATATAAGGTATTCTCTGATTGGATGAGGTGGAGTTTGTGACATCACCATCCCATCCTTACCTTTCCTCCACCCCATCCAATCAGAGGACATCTTGTAAAAAATACAAGGCGCTTTGGGAATGATGGCGGTCTTGAGCCATTGACCCCTGGTGGTCAGTATGCACTGGGGCAGCTGCTCAGGGGCTGGAAGATCACAGCTATCAATGTAGTAGCACCGATTACTACAGTGATTGTCAGCTTCCACAGTAGTTCCTCAGATATGAGATATGCATAATTACATTGGTCCAAGCTGAACCAATGTAAATATGCAATTATGGTCATACCTGGAATTCAGCATATAATATTGTAAATAAGTTATATATGGATACAGAATAATGTAATCTCTGAAATATCAGTTTTTCTCTAAAGAAACTGTATTTGAGAATTCAAAGCTACAGTGGATATAAAAAGTCTACACACCCCTGTAAAAATGTAATTTCAGAACTTTTTCTACCTTTAGTGTGACCAATAAACTGGGGGGGCGGAAAACCCCCCAAAAAACAAAAATGTGGTTGCATTAGGGTGCACACTCTTATAACTGGGGATGTAGCTGTGTACAGAATTAAGTGATCACATTCAAAATCATGTTAAATAGGAGTTATTACACACCTGCCATCATTTAAAGTGCCTCTGATTAGCCCCAAATAAAGTTCAGCTGTTCTAGTAAGTCTTTCCTGACATTTTCTCAGGTGCATCCTACAGCAAAAGCCATGGTCTGCAGAGAGCTTCAAAAGCATCAGAGGGATCTCATTGTTAAAAGGTATCAGTCAGGAAAAGGGTACAAAAGAATTTCCAGGGCATTATATATACCATGGAACACGGTGAAGACAGCCATCAAGTGGAGAAAATATGACGCAACAGTGACATTACCAAGAACTGGATGTCCCTTCAAAATTTATGAAAAGACTAGGAGAAAACTGGTCTGGGAGGCTGCCAAGAGGCCAACAGCAACATTAAAGGAGCTGCAGGAATATCTGGCAAGTACTGGCTGTGTGGCACATGTGACAACAATCTCCCATATTCTTCATATGTCTGGGCTATGGAGTAGAGTGGCAAGATGGAAGCTTTTTCTTACTGATTTAGCAGTTTGATTGCCTTAAGCTAGATGTTCATACGGTGTACATTTTTGATTGGAATGTTACTCTATATTTTATATGCAATGTCAACAGAAAGGCAATGGTAGGAATACTGATGATTGTTCCTGGAAATGATATTGCGGTGCTGCCCGTATGCTTACGGACTATGCAATATATCTTAGTTATTGATTGCGGCTTTGTCACTGTATGATCACTATTATTCAATTTGTTTGTAGTTTGTCACCCATAAATTGTGTGTTTGTTTAAAAATATGGATTCAGGGTCAGTTCACACTATGGAAACGCGGTCCAGATGCATTCCCGATGCATTTCTGCATGAGCATTTCTGATGTGTTTTTACGTGCTACCGGGCATTTTTGTACGCATTCTGGTGGTTTTTTTTATTCATTCCAGTTCATTTTTCCCCTCTTTTTCTTCAATTTAAATAGGTACGTGTATTTTTGATGCATTTTACCGTGTTCCAGTACAGTTATGTACAGAAAAAATGCAGCCTGTTCTACTTTTTTTTTTTCCAACTGGAACGCACTGGAACTGCTAGCACTGATATGAACCAGGGGCGGACTGACAACTCATGGGGCCCCTGGGCAATAGGGGATCATGGGGCCCGTGTCCTTGCCCAAACTCAAAAAAGCCTATGAAAAAGGTACGAGGGGCATCTCATGGGGCCCCCTACTGACCCCGAGCCCTCGGGCAGTGCCCGAGTTTCCAAATGGTCAGTCCGCCCTTGATATGAACTATGACATTGACAACCATATAACCTACTTTCTGTGCATTTTGGATGCAGAAAAAAAGCACGCATGTAGTGTGAACTGGCCCTCAGATTCATAGTGACTTAAATGTATCCAGAATGGTTGAGAATGGATAGCTGCTTTTTATTATTGCTTTTGATATTATAGTTTATTTGTATAGCACATTTAAATGCTTAGATTTATGCACCATTGGACCAGATTGACAGTTATATAGGGAGTTTAGCAGGTCCTTCGGCTTGGTCTCTTGAGGACATGTTAGTTACAGTATAAACCATTCATTCCGATATAAGTCATTCCGACTTATGCCCTTTTTTTCCCCACAAATTGAGCTGTCTTTCGGTGGTATTTGATCACCTGTGTGGTTTTTTTTTTTTTTGCACTATAAGCAAAAAAAGACTGATAATTTTGAGGAAAAAAAACAATTTTGGATTTTTTGGTATTAAACATGTCCAGTTTAAGAAAATCTAATTTAGTCATAAATTTAGGCCAAAATGTGTTCTACGACATGTCTTTGCTGAAAAAAAAAAAAAAAATCACATTGAGTGTAAATTAATTGGTTTACATGAACGTTATAGCATTTACAAATGGTGGTATAGATATGAGGGGCGATCAAAGGATTGACTGTGTGCTGGGAGTGTTTTACTAGGGGGCAGTGTCAGTGTGCTTCACTGTAAATCACACTGCTTTGGATGGCTATGCTGTGCGTCCCTTACCCGGAAAGGCAAAATCACATATACATATATATACACACATACACACATAATATATATATTATATACACATATACATCATATATACATACATACAGTTGCAAGAAAAAGTATGTGAACCCCTTGGGATTACGTGGAGTTTTGCATGAATTGGGCATAAAATTTGCTCTGAACGTCATCTAAGTCACAACAATAGAAGAACACAGTCTGCTGAACATAGTATTACACAAACATTAGATGTTGCCATGGTTTAATTGCACATAACATGTAAACATTCACAGTGCAGGGAGGAAAAAGTATGTGAGGCCCTAGCTTAATGACTTCTTCCAGAGCGAATTGGAGCCAGGAGTGAGCCAACCTTGACTCCAATCAGTGTGATGATATTGAATGTGTTGTTGACAGCTGTCCTGCCCTTAAACACACACCTGTTTTGGGTTTACTGGTTTCAAGAAGCACCGTCTGAACCATGCCTAGCAGAAAAGAGCTCTCAGAAGACCTACGATCAAGAATTGTTGACTTGCATGAAGCTGGAAAGGGTTACAAAAGTATCTCCAAAAGCCTTGATGTTCATGTGTCCACGGTAAGACAGACTGTCTACAAATGGAGAAAGTTTAGCACTGTTGCTACTCTCCCTAGGCGTGGTCGTCCTGTAAAAATGACTGCAAGAGCACAGCGCAGAATGCTGCATGAGATAAAGAAGAATCCCAGAGTGTCAGCTAAAGACCTACAGAAATCTCTGGCACATGCTAACATTTTTGTTGACACATCTACAATAAGGAAAACATTAAAAAAGAATGGAGTGCATGGGAGGACACCACGGACGAAGCCATTGCTGTCCAAAAAGAATATTGCAGCATGTTTGCAAAGTTTGCAAGTTTGCAAAAGAGCACCTGGATGTTCCACAGCACTACTGGCAAAATATAGTGGACAGATGAAACCAAGATTGAGTTGTTTGGGAAGAACACACAATACTATGTGTGGAGAAGAAAAAGGCACAGCACACCAACATCAAAACCTCATCCCCACTGTAAAACATGGCGGAGGGAGCATCATGGTTTGGGGCTGCTTTGCTGCCTCAGGGCCTGGACGGATTGTTGTCATTGATGGGAAAATGAATTCCAGAGTTTATCAAGACATTTTGCAGGAAAACGTACGATCATCTGTCCGCCAACTGAAGCTCCGCAGAGGATGGGTGATGCAACAGGACAAAGACCCCAAGCATACAAGTAATTCAACAAAACAATGGCTGCAACAGCACAGAATACGCCTTCTGGAGTGGCCCAGTCACTGACCTCAACTCGATTGAAATGCTGTGGCATGACCTTAAGAGAGCGATTCACACCAGACATCCCAAGAATATTGCTACACTGAAACAGTTTTGTGAAGAGGAGTGGTCCAAAATTACTCCAGATCGTTGTGCAGGTCTGATCTGCAACTACAGGAAACGTTTGGTTGAGGTTATTGCTGCCAAAGGAGGGTCAACCAGTTATTAAGTCCAAAGGTTCACATACTTTTTCCTCCCTGCACTGTGAATGTTTACATGTTATGTGCAATTAAACCATGACAACATCTAATGTTTGTGTAGTATTATGTTCAGCAGACTGTGTTCTTCTATTGATGACGTTCAGAGCACATTTTATGCCCAATTCATGCAAAACTCCACGTAATCCCAAGGGGTTCACATACTTTTTCTTGCAACTGTACATATACATACACATATACTGTATATACATATACACACACACACACACATATATATATATATATATATATACACACACATACATACATACATACATACATACATATACACATACATACACACGTGATTTTGCGCAGTATTTCTGCTATAGGGCGGTCGGGAAGCAGGTAAAGACAGTATATCACAATAACAATATGCTTCAGTACAATTAATGCAATACAGTTTTTACTGAGTCACTGTATTTATAGTAGGATTGTAGTATTAATTCTCACACGATATGTAGCATAACAGTTATTTGTTTTCAGATAGAGTATGTCATTCTAAAATTAACGGTCATATTCTGACAGGTTTATTCACTTTCAACAGTTTATGCCAGCTGTGCAAACTAAGCCGTGAACTCCTTCACGAGAAGATAAATCATATTCATGAAATGTGAAAACATTTTTTTTCTATTAGCATCAAACACATTTCAGTATGGTCAAACATTTCTTAAAGTATCTATTTACATTTTATGGGTCACTGTACAATGTGTTAAATGCAAAACATAAGAAAAGTTAAACAGTACAAACAGGGGCAGACTGACAACTCATGAGGCCCCCGGGCAATAGGGGATCATGGGGCCCCTGTGTCCTTGCCCAAACTCAAAAAAGCCTATGAAAAAAGGTACCAGGGGCATCTCATGGGGCCCCCTACTGACCCCGGGCCCTCAGGCAGTGCCCAAGTTTCCAAATGGTTAGTCCGCCCCTGAGTACAAAGAATGGAAACCACATATAAGCTGCCAGCATTTATCTCTGAAAAGATAAAGATTAAAAAAACATCCAGAATCATTCCTCAATCATCTTTAGTTGTTTTAAGATGAGCTATGAATCAGCATTACCGAACATTTCCAGACATTCTGTCATCACTTTTGATAAGGCTTAAAGTAAGTGTCACTATATGTAGCCTATATTCTCACGAAGTCCCAGAAAAATTCTGAGATAGCCTCTATACAACCCAAGAATAAGATACTTACATGTATGTTGTTGAGTGTGTTGAACTCCATGAGATCATGCAATCTTTTGAATGCTTCGTTTGGATACTGAAAATTAAATGTTGAAAATGGACTTTCAGTATCATCAAAAATATCAAAATCTGCAAAATCCTTTTCTTCTGTAGTCTCTCTGGGAACACCTAAATAACAACATAACACAGATTAGCACATAAGCAGAAAACAGCACAAAGTGCATGCAGTTGTGAAAAGTGAGTGAATACTGACAGAAAAACACTGCTATGAGCTGCCATCCACCAGGACTTTCAAAATAGAGCTTTTTCATGCACTGTTTTAACAACCACTTCTGTTTCCCTATAATGAATTAAATTTCAGGTGTCTCTTCCCAACAGGCAGTTAAATGGTTTATGTGCGTAGTTGGTGGCAGGGGCATGGGATGTGAGGGAAATGTTTTCCTGTGAACTAGGAACGGGATGATCAAATGTATAAGCATACAATATTTCCTTCAACAAAGAATCTCCCTGTGTTACCTCCTAAGTCTTACTAGGCAATGAATGCGCACTGTGATTTAAGTAGCAAAACTAAACCAGAAAAGTAAATTGTTTTTCCCAGCTCTACTGTGTGGAAAAGATGTGCAAATCACAAGAGTATCTGAATAAATTACAAAGCCTTTGGCCATTAAATCAGTAAATATAAATATGTGTAATAATAAATCCAACCCTTTTTAGGAAAATAGACCCAAACAGTTTACAGAACTATGGGATTCATGGTTGTTGGTTCCAAGTTTTTTACTGCCCTAACCACCCAAAAGCTGCTTCAAAAGATAGATAAGTCTTTATAAAACATAAAAAAAATAAAACACACTCACACAACTGCTTAAAGGAGACCTTTACCCCCTTTTACTAAAATTCACATCAGCATGTGTCTTATCTAACATAGTGGGTTTTTTTTTTTTTTTTTTTTTTATTTGTTTACCACTCTTCTGTCCTGGTTCCTGGTTTCCCTGAAGCCACTGATGATGTAAGCCTGGTTGCACGGATTCTCCTCTGGAAAGGAAATATCACCAGTGCCTTTTACCTAATCTGCAAGATCTCCCGAACTCTTGCAGAATTGCTGTACTGTGAATATGCAAGATGGAGTGCAAGACATCATGTGGAGCATATTGCACATGTGCCATATGATGTTACGTTCATCTTAAAAAACAAAAACAAAACATTCACCTTTAGGGGAAGGCTTTTTTATTTTTAAAACTGATAAATGTAATGTGGTATGGTGCGTGTATACCCAAGATGAGCTGCATGACAGCATGTGATTCATTATGCACATGTGCGCTAGGATTATATTCCAAACGGACACCGGAAAGAATTTTCAAAATGGTGGCACCTGGGCTATCCAAGGGCTCAGGCAGCAGAGTGGCAGAAAAAAAAAAAAAAAAGGACAAAAAAGGAGAAGATGGGGCAGCATAAAAGTCAATAAGCTTACTTATTTAGGTTTTAGGCTGCCTTTGGGTCTTTTATTTTTATAAAAAAAGTGGGAGATCCTCTTTAGGTTTTATGAGCAATTGTTAAGTTTTATTATGAAAATCAAGTGCAAGACAGAGGAAACATATGAGCCTTTTATTAAGGCAAGACATTGGTCAACAGAGCTTTGTTTAGCAAATTTACTAAAAAGTGCACTGTACAATTTTACTGTACACTTTTCCAATGTGATATACAATATGTCTATGCTAGTTACCTTTATCATGCCTCCATTTAATCTACACTGTATTCAAAAATGTGGATGGCATCTGCATTACACATTCAGCAATGTAAACCATTGCTGAATGGTTGCAGACCAGGTAGTGGCATGAGGATTGGGAAAGAGGTTTACTGTTTTTTAAGCATATAGTTTTTATTGCAAGTATCAGTTTCCTTACTAAAAAAACAAACATATACAGTAAGCATTTTAACTGTTTATATAGCAGTTCACCTGAAGATCAACTCTGGACAATGATGAATTTGGCATACATATTTTTAAGACTGTCCACTGAAGGGTTAACACACACTCTGGAGATTGGCCAGATTTTTAATACACATACCCTGGAGACTGCCCATTGAGGGAATAATGTGCATGTACTTGGCTAGCACTAAGGGGTTACTGCACATATATTGCAGATTGGCCACTGAGGGGTGAATGTCAATCCATAGAGACTGGTCACAAAGGGTTTAATGAACATTCTGTATGCGGATATGTTAATTCTCATGCATTGTTGCTGTGCAAAATGGCGAGTCAGCTCTGCATACTGGGGTCTGTTTCATTACTGGCATGGATACAGGGAAGTGAGGTGTGTGTGCTGACAGCAGGAAACAGGGGAAAGACCAATGTATGTGCTTTGGGTTGGATCTCAGTGTTAAAATATGCTCTGTTCATTTAAATTCAGCACTGAATGCAGAATTCAGAGTAAGAAACCAAAACTGACAATCTAACACTATATAGGATGTGGATGATGTCTTTCACTAATGTTTACAAGTGACAGTTGATACAGTCAGGTCCATAAATATTGGGACATCGACGCAATTCTAACATTTTTGGCTCTATACACCACTACAATGGATTTGAAATGAAAGAAAGAAACAAGTTGTGCTTTAACTGCAGACTGTCAGCTTTAATTTGAGGGTATTTTCATCTAAATCAGGTGAACGGTGTAGGAATTACAACAGTTTGCGCATGTGCCTCCCACTTGTTAAGGGACCAAAAGTAATGGGACAGAATAATAGTCAAAAAATAAAACTTTCACTTTTTAATACTTGGTTGCAAATCCTTTGCAGTCAATTACAGCCCGAAGTCTGGAACGCATAGACATCACCAGACACTGGGTTTCATCCCTGGTGATGCTCTGCCAGGCCTCTACTGCAACTGTCTTTAGTTCCTGCTTGTTCTTGGGGCATTTTCCCTTCAGTTTTGTCTTCAGCAAGTGAAATGCATGCTCAATCGGATTCAGGTCAGGTGATTGACTTGGCCATTGCATAACATTCCACTTCTTTCCCTTAAAAAACTCTTTGGTTGCTTTTGCAGTATGCTTTGGGTCATTGTCCATCTGCACTGTGAAGCGGAGTCCAATGAGTTCTGAAGCATTTGGCTGAATATGAGCAGATAATATTGCCTGAAACACGTCAGAATTCATCCTGCTGCTTTTGTGAGCAGTCACATCATCAATAAATACAAGAGAACCAGTTCCATTGGCAGCCATACATGCCCCACGCCATAACACTACCACCACCATGCTTCACTGATGAGGTGGTATGCTTAGGATCATGAGCAGTTCCTTTCCTTCTCCATACTCTTCTCTTCCCATCACTCTAGTACAAGTTGATCTTGGTCTCATCTGTCCATAAGATGTTGTTCCAGAACTGTGAAGGCTTTTTTAAATGGCGTTAGGCAAACTCTAATCTGGCCTTCTTGTTTTTGAGGCTCACCAATGGTTTACATCTTGTGGGGAACCCTCTGTATTCACTCTGGTGAAGTCTTCTCTTGATTGTTGACTTTCACACACTTACACCTACCTCCTGGAGAGTGTTCTTGATCTGGCCAACTGTTGTGAAGGGTGTTTTCTTCACCAGGGAAAGAATTCTTCGGTCATCCACCACAGTTGTTTTCCGTGGTCTTCCGGGTCTTTTGGTGTTGCTGAGCTCACCGGTGCGTTCCTTCTTTTTAAGAATGTTCCAAACATTTGTTTTGGCCACGCCTAATGTTTTTGCTATCTCTCTGATGGGTTTGTTTTGTTTTTTCAGCCTAATGATGGCTTGCTTCACTGATAGTGACAGCTCTTTGGATCTCATCTTGAGAGTTGACAGCAACAGATTCCAAATGCAAATAGCACACTTGAAATGAACTCTGGACCTTTTATCTGCTCATTGTAATTGGGATAATGAGGGAATAACACACACCTGGCCATGGAACAGCTGATAAGCCAATTGTCCCATTACTTTTGGTCCCTTAACAAGTGGGAGGCACATATGCAAACTGTTGTAATTCCTACACCGTTCACCTGATTTGGATGTAATTACCTTCAAAATAAAGCTGACAGTCTGCTGTTAAAGCACATCTTGTTCATTTCATTTCAAATCCATTGTGGTGGTGTATAGAGCCAAAAATGTTAGAATTGTGTCGATGTCCCAATATTTATGGACCTGACTGTATGTGTAGTAAGACTAATATAACTCATATGAACATGGTTAAAGTTAACAAACAAGAAAAAAACCAACAAAAACAAACTAGTGTGTTATTAGGGAATATGATGAAAGCATAGGAGAATGTAAAAACTGCACCAGAGCAAGTTATGGAATTAACCAGTGCATCCATGGTGTAACTTTCAATCTTAACAAACATTGTTTTTAGCATGAACAAAATTTATGTTAGTGTTTTTTTTGTTTTGTTTTCTTAGATACAGTAAATAAAACCCATGTCTGAAGTGATCAAATGATATAAGACCTGAACACAGCATAGACAACATGATTAAATTGTTGGGCTCATGTAAGTGGGCAGTTTTTCAACTGAATGTGTTTTTTTTTTTTAAATCATATGAAAAGAAAAGAAAATACTTAATATTAATCTGGAATGCCATGACATTGTTCCTTGGTACCACAATAGAAGTGCAGATAAGCACAAAATGGAATAATGTTTGCTTATTCAACATGTCAATGCAGTACAGTATTTACAGACATGTACAAAACACTAGTGCTCGTTCACACTTGTGTGGAGGTCTGACATTTTCTGCACTTGAAAATTGCAGCCCATTGTTTCCTTTGCACCATGTTCACACTACACTGGAGCCCTCAGGTGTGCAGCAATGCAATGTGGAAAAATGCAGCAGGTCTGTAAAATTCAAGGCACAACCCCCACTGCCCATACAGAATAGAGCTCGCACAGGAAAATGGATCATCATATTTTGAGTAGACATGTCTAAATGCATAAAAGCCAAAGTTAAAAGGTACAAACCTTCAAAAAGTATAATATTTTGTAAACCACAATAAAATATTTTCAATTTGACTGGCAAATTATTTTATCAATAGAAAACATTTATCATGTAATTTTACAGCTTCATTAACAAAAGTAATGCTATCATCATTCATTGCACATACCTGGAGCTTTGAACTTTCTAAATTCAATGTTAGCCAAAACAAAATGAATCACTGTCGGACAGTCTTTTTCTATTGATGGGTTCTTTGGTCGAAATATATAACATTCCTTCAGCCCTTCTCTATCAAAGACATGTGGATCTATCTTTGGAAATGGTAGCTTATTCATGCGTGCCCACTTCTCCGCAAGTAGTAGTTCCTTGAGCAGAAGTAAAGTTTTAAGATGTTTAAAATTCTTCATTATAAAAATATTTCTCTCTTAAAAGATCATTATCAGATTCTTTGAGACATGTGAACATCACTATTACGCAGGAACTTGGTGTACAATATTTGCACAACTATGTCAAGTGCAAGTTTTATCTAAATTTGTTACTTTCAGTATATGCAATAAAAATAAAAAAATAAAAATAGTTTGCGGAAATCACAGTTAGTACTTATGAGGTATCCATTATTTCTAACAGCCAAAATACTTGTGGAGAAGTTAAAAGTATTACCAGCCATATATAGCCTGTGCTGCTGTTCTTCAGCATGTCACAGCTGTTGAAGATAGGGGCGGATGCAGATAAAGCTTTTTTCCTATTGTCTCCCAACAAACTTAGAATTGACCTGTTCCCATACTGTGAACAATAAACTATTTCCATATTCTTAAACAATTTAAACAAGCCCTCAATTACCTCTCGATTTGCTTTCATTGTGAAGTTATTCATCCTCTAAGATCCTCAAATATCTAAAAAAAGACTCTAGAGTAGGGTTTCAGTTGATTTTAACACCTTGGAAACATCTGCTGTTTGTTTATATTAGAAGGCTGCCAGCCTGCCAGGATTCTGCTCTGGCAGTGTTGTGTGAATTTTGAACATGCATTTCTGCACAATGCAAATGTCCACCTAACCACTTGTCCCCTGAAACCTGTTCCCTCGCAAATGCTATGGTCACCCTCTGGCTCTATCCTACATTCTCAAACTAACATCTTCAATCTCCTTCTCTCTTCTGCCATCTTCCCCAACTCTCTAAAACATGCAGTAGTTACCCTAATACTTAAGAAGCCCTCACTGGACCCCACCAATCATAATAACCTACTCCCCATCTCATTGCTTCCTTTTTTATCCAAACTCCTTGAATGTCTGGTCTAAAACCAACATAGTAACCAACTCGTTGAGCATAACCTTCTGATCTCCTTCAGTCTGGATTTAGCCCTCAACATTCTACAGAAACTTCCCCCCTAAAACTTACAGTCTGTTAATGGCTTGTATCACCCTCCTAAATAGCTAGGGGGAGCTAGATTGTAAATTGTTACTCAGAGGCTGGGTAGAAGCCTATGGTAATAGTCAGAGGGAGGTTAAATGCAGGTATGCAGACCAGCTCTCTGGAACTTCCCCCTGCTCTAGAAGTTTGGGGAAGATTCTAGAAACAGTGGGAGGGAGTGAGGAGTGGCTGTTTTGCACTCTCAAGGGGTCCTGGCCAATTCCCAAAAGGAAGCTTGGCATGGGGTCCTTAAGAGTGACAGGGCCTGCACAACAGCAGGAGAGTTTGGGTGGAAGATGACGTGAGCAGATGGAGAGAAGGAACCTGGGAGGGGGCCCAGATGGAAAGGGACTCACCAACAGGCACAGGAACTGGAAAGGAGGGAAGCTCAGGACCTCAATGGCCCCCAGAATGAGGAACATTTGTAAACAGGGAAGGAGCAGCCCAGCAGAAGGCCTAAGAGCAGCCACCGACCCATCAGCTCATAGACAGAGGACTGAGTGAGTAGAACTACACCCCCTGGGCCAAAGAGGGGAAGCAGTACTCTACTGGGAAACTGGATTAGCTGCTACCTAGCACTGTCATCTATTTAAAGTGACAGGCACTGGATACCCTGCCCATGGATTCACCCAGTAAAGCTGGATAAAGGAGTATCTGGGGTCTGGGGTAGTACACCAGGAGAGGCTGGCTAGCTCTCCAGAAGAGGATTTTGTGTCGTTAAAGACTTGTACATAGTTCCAGGAACAGTGTCCACAGTTGTCTTTTCCTTGGACATCCCATACACCTCTTACCCCATCCAGGTTATTCTTCCCCTAATAAAATCCAAAAAACCAAGCTCAAAGACTGGTTACTACTTCCTGGATGCAAGTCTGTGTGAAAAATGCATGTTGCCTGGCTGTGCAAGACTATAGGGGGACTCAAAACAACAACTCCTAAGCGGGTAGTGCTACAGGCTAAATCCAATGGACATTCTATATTCCTATTCCTGGACCTCTCTGCTGTCTTTGACACGTTGGACCACTCCCTCCTCCTCATAAAACTCCACGCCTTTGATCTCCATGACTGTACTCTTCGCTGGTTCTCATCCTACTTATCCATCCTCACAATTGGTGTTACTTACAATTCTACTTTCTCCTCTCCTCTTCCTGTCTCTGTTTGTGTCCCCCCAAGGTTCTGTTCTTGGACGTCTCCTATTCTCGATCTACACCTCCTCCCTGGATCAGTTAAGAGCCTCCCATGGCTTCCAATACCATCTCTACACTGACAACACCCAAATTTATTTCTCTATGCCTCAGCTCACTCCTTCAGTCTCTTCAGGCACATCAGCCTCAATGTCACACCACTTCCTCAAACTCAATCTATCCAAAACCAAGCTCATAATATTTCTTCCCCTAATTTTTCTGTCAAGATCAATGGTAAAAATATCAATCCGTCCCCGCATGCCAAGGTTCTAGGTGTATTCCTGGAAAATGCACTATCCTTTTGGCCCCACATCCAATCACTGTCCAAATCTTGTTGCCTCAACCTACCCAAAATCTCCAAAATACGCCCTTGCCTAACCAATTACACCACAACGCTCCTAGTGCACTCCATGGTCATCTCTCACCTCGACTACTGCAACTCCCTCCTCACTGGATTACCTTTGCATAGGCTATCCCCCTTCAGTCCATCATGAATGCTGCTGCCAAACTCATCCACCTTACCAACCGTTTAGTGTCTGCTACTTCTCTCTGTCAGTCCCTCTACTGGCTTCCACTCATACATCTAATTAAATTCAAAATACTAACAACTTGCAAAGCCACCCAAAACTCAGCCTCCCGCTACATTACTAACCTAGTCTCAAAATATCAACCTAACCATTCTCTTCATTCCTCCCAAGACCTCATGTTCTCTAGCTCCCTCATCACCTCCTCCCATGCTCGCCTCCAGGACTTTTCCCGAGCCTCTGTGAAACTCCCTACCCCAATCTGTCCAACTATATTCTAATCTGTTTGCTTTTTTGACGATCCATGAAAACCCTTCTCTTAAGAGAAGCCTATTCTACCCCCCACCTACCTGTACTTTTATTTTCTCCATCAGCTCATCCCCTATAGCTAGTACCTTTTGAATCACTTAACCCACTCTTCTAGATTGTAAGCTCTAACAAGCAAGGCCCTCTGATTCCTCCTGTGTTGTTTTGTATAGTAACTGTACTGGCTACCATCATGTTGTAAAGTGCTGCGCAATCTGTTGGCGCAAAATAAATTCTGTATAATAATAATAAGAAGAAGCCCGTCTCACCACCTGCCTCTGGATCCTGTCCCCTCAACTACTACAGTCACCCTCTTCTTCTGTCCTATGCTCCCTCACATCTTCAATCTTTCCCTCTCTAATGGTGCCTTCCCCACCCCTCTAAAGCATGCACACACATCACATCACTCCCATACTTAAAAAGCCCTTGCTGGAACCCACCAAGCTGAACAACTTAAGACCCATCTCCCTGCTCCAGTTTACCTCTAAACTCTTAGAACGTTTAGTCTACAATCGACTGAGCTCCTACCTCACTGAGAACAACCTTCTTGAGCCTTTACAGTCTGGCTTCCGCTCTCTACACTCCACTGAAACTGCCCTACTAAAACTCAGTAATGATTTACTAACTGCTAAAACCAATGGCCACTACTCTATACTCTTACTACTTTACCTCTCTGTGGCTTTTTATACTGTTGACCATCCCCTCCTCCACAAAAACTCCACTCTCTTGGCCTACGAGACTCTGCTCTCTTCTGGTTCTCCTCCTACCTATTGCAGCGCTCCTTCAGCGTTATTTATAACTCAGTCTTCTCCTCTCCACTTACTTTTTCTGTAGGGGTCCCTCAAGGTTCTGTCCTTGGACCCCTTATATCTCCATCTACACCTCCTCACTTGGTCACTTGATAAACTCTCCTGGCTTTAAGTACCATCTCTAAGCTGATGACACACAAAGCTATCTTTCTACTCCACACCTCACCCCTTCAGTCTCCTCTCGCATTGCTAACCTACTAAGTGACATATCAGCATGGATGTCACTCCACTTCCTCAAACTCAATCTTTCTAAAACTGAGCTCATACTATTCCCTCCAGCCCATGCCCCTTCCCCTGACTTCTCCATCAAGATCAATAATACAACCATCAGTCCCTCCCCTCATACCAGGGTACTAGGTGTAATCCTAGATTCCCATCTGTCCTTTCAGCCCCAAATCAAATTACTGTCCAAATCTTGTAGACTTCACCTCCACAACATCTCCAAGATATGCCCGTTCTTAACCTCAGAAACTACTAAGCAACTTATTCACTCCCTGATTATCTCTCGCCTTGACTATTGTAACTCCCTCCTCATTGGCCTACCTAATTGCAGACTATCCCCTCTTCTGTCTATCATGAATGCTGCTGCCAGACTCATCCACCTTCCTAACCATTCCATAGCTACCATCCCTCTCTGCCAATCCCTCCACTGGCTTCCCATTGCCCAACGAATAACATTTAAAACATTAATAACAACATATAAAGCCATTCATAACTCTGCCCCAAATGACATCACCAATCTTGTCTCCAAATATCACCCAAACCGTCCTCTGCTCCTCCCACAACCTCCTGCTCTCTAGCTCCCTTGTCTCCTCCTCCCATGCCTATTTCCAGGACTTCTCCAGAGCCTCCCCCATCCTCTGGAACTCTCCACCCCAATCTATCAGACTATTGCCTACTCTGCCCACTTTTAGGCAATCTCTGAAAACCTCTCTCTTAAGGGAAGCCTATCCTGCCTTCAGCGAATAACCAAATCTTCTATTCCTCCTATCAGTTCATCCCCCACAGTTATCTTTTGTACCAACAGCCCCTCCCTCTTAGATTGTAAGCTCCAAGGAGCAGGGCCCTCCTAACCCTCTTATATTGAACTGTATTGTTGCTGTATTGTCTCCCTTTATATTGTAAAGCGCTGAGCAA